GACTGGGCGGAGATTACATATGTAAGTTTCATAACTACTATAACTTGAAATTAATGTTTATAATATTATATAATTAATAATTTTCTATCTTCTAAATAAAGGGTCGCTACAAGACTAATATGGAAGAGTACACTCAGAGCTTGCTACCGAATGAGCAAGGCGAGCAACCACCCCTTTCAGACGAAAAAGCGTAGCAGATATGGTTGGATATTGTCGGTGGTCAAAATTTCGGCGCTACAGGGCTGGATTGCAAGGTATAGGGACTTCCGCCCAGGGCGAGGTAATTGATAGGTCTACTTTCTCGTCTATGGAGATGAAGATCGCAAAGCTGACAGCAGAGCTTGAAGAGATAAAGGCTAGAGAACAAAAGAGAGATAAACAATTTGGTACCCTTCAAGTTCAGCTAGAAAAGAGGGACCAACAATTTAATGTCATTCAAGGTCAACTGGCCAATCTTCTTGCTAGTGGTGTTTTCTCCATTCCCCGGTCTCGTGAGCCTTCCCCAAATATGTCTCCTTCTCGTCGTGATCCTTCGAATCATGCCGACGATGAAGGTTCTAGTAGTGGAGATGGAGATGATGTAGTACAAAACACTTATTGAATGATGTTTGAACTTTTAACTTGTGAAACGTTTTGTTGTTGGATATGATATTTTGTTAATATAGTTTAGTTGAGATGGAGATGATGTTTTGTTAATATAGTTTTGATAGTTGTTATTGTTGTTATTGTTCTTGTTATGGTTCTTGTTATTGTTATTGTTATTGGTTGAATGGTGGTAATGTAATACTTCCATTATAGGTGATTGGTTGTTGGCAGGTGGTGCAGCTATAAAACAGTTGTATTCTACCAAAACCTTACCCAGAAAACCGACCACCTGCCGACTGAAGTCGGTCGAAAATGTTCAATTGATTTCCAAGAAATTTAAATTTACCGACCGACTTCGGTCGGAATTTTTTATTTTAAATATTAAATATTTTAATAATATCGACCGACTTCGGTTGAAATTTTTATTTTAAATTTTAAATATTTTAATAATACGGACCGATTTCGGTCGGAATTGAATAATTTTTAAAAAAAATGAATAATTAAAATTCCGACCGAAGTCGGACGCTAATTTTAAAAATTATTTTCAAGAATACCGAACGAATTCGGACGCTAATTTTAAAAATTATTTTCAAGAATACCAACCGAATTATGTCGGTAAGTTTATTTTGTGTTAGAATATTTGGTCAAAGTACGTTGAAAATTACCGACCAACTTCATTCGGAAATATCGACCGTCTGCGGTCGATAGCTGTTAGCGAACATTGTTTTTTCGAAGAATTGAAAACTTTCGAAAATCGGTCGGTTTTTGTTCGATTCCGACCGATTTCGGTCGATTTTTCTGGACGTTTTTTGACAGTTTTTTAGCCGTGGTTCTTCAATTTCATAATGCGATCATTCTATTTAATTACACAGGCCGCATAGAAACTTATGTATTTTAAAAAGTTCTAGTGAAATATATGTTGGTGACATTTGTTTGAAAACCAAACCAAACAATCATCTAAATTTTTTCTACCAAAATTAGTATTTCTAACATATAATCTGAGCATTACCTCAACATTTGAACCCTTCATTTTCCAATATTTGACATTAAGAGCAAGAATTTGTCATCTTCCGTTTTGGTCATTATTTGTTATAATCAGAGCATAAAGGTTAATGACTTTAGATCGAGTCAACTGAAAAATGAACTCAAATGAAATAAAGATTTGTTTTTAGAAGAATAAACTCATATAGCCGCCCACCTAATTTCTTAAACTATAAATAGCCGGTGAATATTTAATATATATATAATTCATATATAATATACGTATAATTACATATAATCAATATATAAAATATATATATATCGACAAAAAAAAAATAATATTAAGTCTGCCGGACTATTTGTGTAACGTTCCCCTTTTTTTATATCTTAAAAAGATCACTCAAAGACATACATACAGGTATGCTAGAATTAGTTGCATGAGATAATGGCAACGTGAACTTTTATAGCAATTGCAGTTGTAGAAGTGGGCCAAATGGCTACGTGGCCCCCTGGAGTAGAGGTTACGTGGTTCATTCTTGTCTTCTTAAATTCAACCGTTGAAATTTTAATCTTTATTTGTTTTTCTTAATTTGCCAATGAAGAACAAAAATATCAAGAGGAAAACAGAAGAAAAGATGAGCAAATTTGTTTATTTTTCAAGGGTAATAAGGTTGAATTATGAACAAAATTTACTCTGCATAGTTAGATCTTTTCCTTTCTTGGTTAACTTATATTCCATCAGTCCACGTTTAAATGGTGACATTTTCTTGTTAGAAATTTCTCAAAATATTTGATATAATTATGTTTAATACTCCATATTTTATGTAATTCATACAAGTTTTTAAGGTTGTTGTTAGAACAATTCTGATGTAAATAAAGAGTCCACCAAATTGTATAAAGAATATGATTTCTCCCAGAATATATATACAACAGTAAGTAAATGATACAACAGTATTTTACGTGGAAAACTTCTAACTCACGGGATTAAAAACCACGGCCTACACTCGTAGGATTTCAACTTCACTAACCGAGTAACTTTAGATTACAACTTATTGTAACCTAAAAATTAAACTATTAATCCCTCACCTACTTGCAATAACTCTATTGCAATCCTCTTTGTAATAACTTTATTACAAAGTTCACCACTTTGACTAACTCTAGCCAAACACAAACACACGGTTTATGATTTACAGAAGATATCTTATAAGGTGCTTCTAACTAAGCCGAGTAGGAATTACAAGTGAATAACATTAACAAAGATACAATAATACTAAGGACATACGATGAACTCAGTGTTGAGATCTAGTCCTTTGTTATGTTGCTACATTTGTTCTTCAAGCCTTGGAGTCAATGAAGGCGGCAACACACTTTAGAGACACTTAATGATTTAGGTTTTGCAAGAATTTGTTTTCCCTTGCCTCATGTTGCTAATATATAAATGAGGTCATTGAGATGATATAAGTAAATATCCGGTACACAGCATGCTCCATAAAGTGACTGTTGCACTGTTGCGGGTATAGTGCAATAATGTAGCAGCTCTAACAACTGTAAGAGGTTGACCTGTACTGTGACCGGAGGAACTGATAGCCATATGTTCTCTATGCCGGTTCTTTGACTTATATTATTGGAACTTGTGTAAGACATGTGACTTGTTGTTCTGAGCATTTTGAGGTTGTGTATCAGGTTCCCTATCTGGTTCTCATATGAAGTTTGTTAAATCATCAAAATATAAAGGCACATAACTTATCAAATACAATATTGGTCTATTTGGGGTTAATATTCTCAATGGTAAATCGATCATTCGATATCCTTTTCCTTATAGGATGGAATGGAAGAAAAATAATGAAACATGCGATGTGACTACTGAATAACCTCTTTTTACTTTCTCAATAATAAATCACCCCTTTATGGCTGGACCTTCTTTTTAAAGGATCAAATCGCATCCCTCGCCTCATTCAAGAATTATTTTTTATCCAATTTTTAGGATTCAATAGAAAAGGCATAATACACCAGATTCGACTCGTATTAATACAGTGAGTAGATCTGTCATTTCTTAAAATCTAGCTTCTAGAAATTTAATTAAACTTAAATTATCATGTGATATTTTCTCATCCAAAACTATTACTCTTAGTCTTAGATAGTACTGTCTATAGTAAAAGAAAAGTCGCATATAATTGGACAGTTTCTTTTATTTTTCAAGTTATTATTGTGTTTCTAAAACAAAAAGAAGGGAGCCAATAATGTTTGAGAAAAGAATATGAGGTGCCAAGCGAGACACCTACGTGGGTGTAGGACCCAAACGGCAATTCCACTTATCAGAATTTGGAGACCACAAAATTGTTGATAAGGTAACAGAAAACAAGAACACAATGGTATGTACGTGCATTTTCTTGCAACTTTTCTGAAACAATGGCAGCTGCAACTTCGCCTGCACTCTCATCTTCCTTCCTCTCAACAGCAATCCCTGCAACTCATTCTCAGAATCAGCTATTCTTTCTCCCCCTTAATCCCAACTTGAAAATCACTAAAAGGGCCTCTTTCAAGATTCAGGCTGCAAAACTTCCTACCGGAGTATGTTCTTTACTATCTATATAGTTCCTTTCATTTTATATGATATTATTTTCTTAATTTGTACACAAAAAATGACACATTTTTATTATCCTAATTTTTTTCTTTTTCATTCTTACTCATAATGACATGAGCGTACGTATAACAATAGAAATATCATCGTTCGATTAAGACCACCAATTAAACATGTCCCTAGCTCTACTAACTACCAGAGGCGAATGCAGTTCAATCGAATTCAGCATTTTTGACAGGTAGTTATAGGTATATAAAGCTACTAAAATTTTAGCAAGTATATTAAATTCTTAACCCAGAATACTAAAGGTACAAAATATTTAGAAAATTTTAAGAAAATTGATGTTCTTGTTCTCTCTTTGGGTTCTAGTGTACAGAGGGAACCTTCAGAATTGTTTGTATATATAACTTGTAACTTGCATTATGTGGCGTAGGTGGAGTTGCCAAAGGAAGTACCAAAATTGAGCAGACCATTTCTGGGTTTTACAAGGACAGCCGAGATATGGAACTCTAGAGCTTGTATGATTGGTCTTATTGGAACATTCATTGTGGAACTGGTAAGTACATATCTTTATTAGTATGTGATTTTAGTTACTCTTCTAAGTACTGTATTATGATCTTTGTGGGTTTTTTTCCTTTTCCTGTTTTCAGATTTTCAACAAAGGAATTCTTCAAATGATTGGCGTAGATATTGGGAAAGGCCTTGATATTCCACTATAATCGTTTTATATGTTTACTTTCTTCATACACAGACTCCAATTCTATTGACTATGTATTCAGTAATGTACGAGTGTGATACATTCATAATTCAAGAAAATTTTGAAACCCCTTCTGAAATTGATGTGGAAAAGCAATTCAGATTCAACCTAGAGAACATTAAAATCATTCCATATCACAAAAAAATTCTGATGGGCCCACAAAATTTTAGACGATTCGGAGTCAGTCGAACGTATTCAGAGGTGTACTACCTAGAAGCTTACATAATTATCAACTTTTAATATTGCAACTCATAAAGAGCATATTATATCGACAGAAGTATATAGATACATGTTAGTTGTGACCATAATACATCTCAACTTTCCGAAGAAAACATGTAAGAAAGGAAACTACAGGACCCGGCTGATTCGAGTATCTATGACAGCCACCTTGGGTGATGACTCGAATGGCTCTAGTGCCTCGGCAAGTGCCAATCTGCGATTTGTCCAAGCCTTTTCAGCCCACTGCTTCATTTTTCCACCTTCTGCTTTTCTATTTTGTTGCACGATAAGCGTCTCTGCATACCCACCTGCACAACAACCAAGCAACTTGATCCCGGCACTAGCATGGAATTGCCATATAATTTATATACATGAACTAAATTGCACTTTCTGTATAGCCAGAGTACATCAACAAGTCATTCCATGATACTTATCAAAGTAGGCAGCAGTCTTGTATAAGAACAGCAGCATGCGGAAGGAAAGTGGATAAATGAAAGCTTTCAATCTTATCGACAGTCGACACCACAGATGTGCCTCTTTAAACAGAACCATTTTGAAGAAGAGGCTATCAAACTGTTAAACCTAAGATCAACCATTCAAGTACAAACAAAACTTCCACTGATCGCTGCAGCGGAATTCTTGATGCATCTGTTACTTTGCTCAAAGCACAACGTTCTGGGAACATGCTAACCCCTACAATCTATAGCTTGTCTCTTTCAATGAAGACTCGGAAACTAGGCTGCCAGAGGGAAGCAGGGGTTGAGGAAAGAGAGACACTTTACCGTAAACGGTAAAGACACAGTGTTTGCTACTACTATAAACTTTTTGTCCAGAAGAAAGTCTTGTAATTTGGTATAAAAGAAGACTTTCTTGAAGAGTCAAACAGCTCCACAAAAGATGCAGATAAAAAGTAAATAAGATCCACTATATTTCAGAAGCAATGACTACCTCTTGCAAGGGCAAGTATGTCCCTTCTGGACAGTTTTGTTTCCACACCTGTAAAAAGATATCAAATGGTCATTATCGACTTCCGCATGATGAAATGGAAAATTTTAATTATTCCTCATACCTTCTATTTCCAAGGGTGGAGCTTTGAGCACTTCAATTGCTCTTCTATAGAGTCCCTGCATTCAAAGAAACCTTTTGAGAGAGATATTCTCACATTCAACTATTAGAATTCTAATACTTGGGTCATTCATTAAATCTTTGGATTCAGGTCACTTGAAGCAAACTGTTTCTTGGCGATATATTTTGAAAGAGCTCTTCAAAATCATTAAAAAAAATCCTAAACAAACACCGCCTTAATCATATAGGAAATAAACCCAAATTCTGTCCATTGAACCATGTGTCTTAAATATTTGGAAATTCATCCCAAAATCTTCTCCAACGTTCTGCGATTTGTCCAAGCCTGAAGTTGCATAGGTGTTGCAAAGGTAAAAGAGACGGTAAAGGTACATGGTGTATAGATATTTATAATGGATTTGAGCATAGACTCAGACCTCTTGAATCAAAAGAGAGCTTGACCGTTCCATGGCTGCTTTATGCCGATACATGAGAGCTATGCAGGTCAAAATAGCACCTACCTTTGGATGATAATTACCTGCATCACATAAATAAAATAAAAAATCAATAAGAATACAAATTATTTTGTCGCTCATGCAGAGAAATTGATGTATCAAACCAAAACGCTCTTCAGCTTTCTTCAGCGCTGCAGTCAGTATTTCCTCAGCATCATCAAAATTCCTACAACCAGAAAAGTCAGTGCATGAGGGAAAATTAGAGAATTATATGCATTTAAGAGGGAAAGCTACATATTAAGAGATAGGCTCACCCCAAATGAGCCTCAAGCTGCCCTAAAGCACAAGTAGCTCCTAACAAAGTCTCCTCCAAATTCATGTTGCAAGCTGATAAGGATTGTGGGTTGGTAAAATCTTTACATTCTGATACATCCTGCATTGCCTTTTGATATAACTCCCTCGCCATTTGGAAATCCCGCTTACAATGAAGGAATTCACCATAAGATAGTGCAACGTTGCCTATACATCACGATATCAATAAATTGTGGAACTATGTCATCCGTGATGTCTCACAAGGCAAATCCTTACCAAAGCAACCTTTATCACCCTGAGCTCCTTCAAAGAATGACTGGGCTGAAATGAACCAGCTCAAATTTAAATACCTTAAAAATAAAGGATAACACAGAAAGCAGAGGAAAAAGCTCAACCACTATAGATATCTCACCTGATTCAACGTTACCACGGACCAACTCCACCAGCCCCTTTAATGCCTTTGCACGAGCTTCCAAAAACTCAGATCCGCCACCACCAATCTCTAGCCTTATGGTTTCCAGCAGTTGCAAGCATATCTCTGAAGTTGCTGATGAAGCATCATCCTAAAATGGGAGAAAATTTTGCTTATTTTCCTTAATATATAAAACTTTAAACCTAAGTCAGTTCATGCAGACATCAGAAGTTCAATAGCTCTTACTTGATGCGATTCTAGATAAAGCCCAGCAAGTGCTTCAGAGGCGGCAACTGCAATCATATGCCTAATCGTTACCATGGGAACTCCAAACTATGATTTTTATCAAAAGTTTCCACAAGTTTTTACCTTTAACAGCTAAAGATGACAAGCCTAAATCTTGAATTTTCTGGAGCTTCTCAACGGCTTCACCAAAATTTCCTCTAAAATTCCACCCACAAAGGAGAATAAAAAAATTTAACTTCAACTTACAAGTCGGTCAAAACTGTAAGCAAATAACCATAGAATTAAGAGTATGAATAGAATTAAGAGTATGAAACCTTTCAGAAAATAAGGTTGACATGGCGAGCAAAACCAATCCTTTAGCACTCTCATCCAGCTGAGCTGAGTGGCACTGCTCAAGTACCAATTGAGCTTGCGCATATGATTCATCTACGAACCCCGCATGGAAGATCAAAGAAAACTCACAATTACAACAGAGAACCAAACTTAAGACGCAAACTTGATGAGTTGGAAAGTAAAAACACCTGATTTTATAGAAGGCCATTTGTGACCCACACGGGAACCAAAGCAGATTCTTATTTAAAACAGAGAATCAAACTCAAGACATGAACTTGATGACTTGGGAAAAGTGAAAGACCTGATTTTTGGAATGAACATCCACCACCATTTGGAAAATTAAAGCAAATTCACATTAACAATTATTATATATGGTCGACCGCCCCCAGAGCTTAGCTCAAGTGGAAAAGGTTGAGGGATTTATGACTTAGGTCACAGGTTCGAGCTCTGCATCATGTGAACTAAGCCTGGTATTTAAGTGGAGAATGGTAGAGTAGCGGGTCCATTATCCCCGAATTTCAAAAGCTGTGGTTCGTCATAAGGGTTGGCCGCAGACGGATTTCTCGGTCTCATATATGGTAGGTTACAAATTTCAAAACCGCTTCGTCTCTTTCCGAAAAGACACGTTCATTTATGAAAGGGTATCACTTGAAAAATTCTGACTGTTGTTTCCATTAGAAAGCAATTCTTCCTAAAGAAATGAATTGATGCCTTTATTAGTCTATACCTATAATAAGTAAGACTAACCAATTACTCGCGAAATGTGTTAATAAGTTGTTAGATTAGAGTGAATTTCCAAAACTTAAAAAAGAGAGAACTAGGAATTCATAAGACTTGGTTTTATCCTAGCAGAGTCTTTCCATTAAATAACTTTGTGCAGGAGAAAATAACTAATCTGAACAGAGCGTTTAGCATTAATCTTCATTTGCTTCTGTCACCTTTCTTTCAACAAACATTACAAAACACAGAATCAGACTCAAGAATTGAAAACAGGCAACTAAGACTAACATGTAAAATCAAAGGAAATTCACATTTACAACAACAAAACAAACTCAAGACACAAATTCATCAGATGGGTATAGTGAAAAAAGACCTGATTTTTGGGAACGGGCAAGGGAAAGAGCGTAATTGATCATCTGAAGAGCAACTGGGTTGGTCTTGAAACTAGTGTTAACATTATTGTTGATAGAGAAGAATCTCGGGGGTGGCAGTTGTGATGACCCGAAAACAGAGCCACCAATTCTTGCAGTTCTAAAGAGCTTAGCTCCGATTCTAAGCATAGTAGCTGCTTCTCCTAAACCCTAAGTTATTCGAAGGGTTTATCAGATGAAGAGAGACTATTTTTCAGTCTGAATTTGGGGTTGTGACCATTTTAGGCGGATTTGTCCTTCTCAGTATGTGCTAGTAATTCTTTTTCCCCTTCAGGTCCACATTATATTTGGAAGAGTAAAGAATTTTAAAATACCATGGCATTATTATCCTCTCTCTTGAAAAAAATGTTTTGTATTACAGTCAAAACATAGCAGCCTCGTTTTTTTATTGTTATAGCAGAGTGTAGTATTATACGGAATATATATTATAACATAGCATAAAAATTTATTACAAAAGGAACTTGACTTTTATAGAGAATGATGGTTATATAACGATGCGGTTATAGAGATGATTGTACATGGATTAAAATATAAAATGTTTTGTGTGTTTCTAATATTGAGATCTCAAATTTTTAAGTCATACAAATATTATGATATATTTAAGTTAAAAATTAGTTCTTTTTCTTAAATTCAATGCCTATTTATGTTCATATGAAGTGTGAAATAAGGAAAATGCTAGCTACTAACTAACTGTCATGTCTTCAATTTTTACTACTTGTTGTCTTCTAGAGTATTATTTTTTGGGAAAATATATAAGTACCCCTTAATTTATAGTCGGATTTTTAACTACACATTTTATTTTTGCGGGAGTCCTATTATTCCTCTGAAATATTTTTAAATGGTATTAGTATCACCCTGAAATTTCATTATGTCACGACCCCAAATTCCCTTCGTAGGAGGTCGTGATGGCATCTAGTCTCTAAAATTAGGTAAGCCTATCAATGCGGAATAATTATAAATATCTGAAATAAATAAATTATAATTCAAATAATTACAACTCCCAAAACCCAGTAGAAATAAGTCACAAGCTTCTAAAAATTTATTCTCAATGTTTCTATGCATCAAGGTCTAAAGAAGAAAAATAAGGAAGCAACATAAAATGATAGAAGGAGACTCCGGAGTGTGCGGACGCTGGCAGATATACCTCGAAGTTTCCGTGCGCATGTAACTCACTGACGTCTAGACTGGAAAGATGTACCTGGATCGGCACAAAAAGATGTGCAGAAGCGTAGTATGAGTACACCACAGCGGTACCCAGTAAGTGCCAAGTCTAACCTCGGTAGAGTAGTGACGAGGTCAGGTCGCCGTACTATAGAATAGATAATGACATAGAAAAATATTTAAATAATTAAATAAGATAAAATGACTATGAAAATTAATCAAATAGTATGTCACATTTAATGACACCAAATAATTATAAATAATATCTCGTGGAATCAAAACAGATTTCTTTTCAACTTTATGAAAATCACAACAATTAATCGAAGGCAACTATGGTCATAAATCAATATCAACAAGGGCACTACCGAGGTACCGCCCCGTAGTCCCAAATCATAAATAAATTCACAATATCTCATTTCCTTATCTCACCGCGAGGCCTACACAATTTATTTTTAAGAAAATATTTTTTTCGAAATAGAATCCCGCGTTTTAGCCATCCTTATCACACCGCATGACTTCTAGTAGCTCCCCCTACTAGCCATGCGTATCAAGCCACCCTTATCTCACCGCATGCGTTTCAATACTCAGACCTTATACCACCGCATGCGTATCAATATCACAATTTGCACTTCAAGTGCCCAAATATTTTAATTTGTCAAAATAAATTAACAATATTTTTTCACAATAAAGAGTTCACGGCTCATGCCAACATAAATCATCAATAATATTTTTCCACAATAAAGAGCCCACGGCTCCATCACAATGAGTACAAAAATCTTACAAAAATATTCAGGAATAAATAATTTAGCAAAATAATATTTCAAGATCTTTAATACGTTGCTTCAATACCAAATTTAAAATGTCAAATACTTCATATTAATAATATTTAATTTAAAGAAAATTAATTTCAAATAATGCACAGAATAAAAGAAACCAAGTTTCAACCAAACAGGTAAAATAATTAGCAGAAAAAGGTCAAGCAAATTTAAAGTATACAAATCAAATCAATGATGGAGAATATAATAAGATTTAATAAATTAATTAATACGCAACAGTGATTTTCACAATTTAAGAATATAACCCTTCACATTTAGTCCGTGTACACACTCGTCACCTCGTGTACACGACTTTCATCACATTACAATTAATACCAATGCTAGGAAAAATTTCTCCCACACAAGGTTAGACATGTCACTTACCTCGACTTGCTCCAATTTAACCAAGTAGTATGCTTTTTCCTCGATTTCGATTCCGATCGACTCGTATCTAGTCATAATTAATTCGATACAGTCAACAAATTTTATAGAAATAATTCTATAAGAAAATACTACATTTTTCAATAAAATTCGAAATTAACTCAAAAATGACCCGTGGGACCCACGTCTCGGAACTCGACAAAAGTTATAAAATCCAAAAGCCCATTCAAACACGAGTCTAACCATACCAATTTTATCAAAATCCGACCCCAACTCGACCCTCAAAGTTTCAAATCTTATTTTCAAAACCCTAAGTTCCAACCCCCGATTTATACTTCAAAAATATGTAATCTAGTCAGATTATTTGATGATAATTCAATATTATGGAGTAGAAATGATCACAAGGGACTTACTTCAAGTTTTCCCGTAAAAACCTTGCTCAAAATCGTCCAACCCGAGCTTGAAATGCCCAAAAAATAGCAAAAGCTCGAAACCACTCTGTTTTTGTACTGTCCAGGGATTTTCGCATATGTGGCAACTTGGCCGCTTCTGCGCCAACCGCATGTGCGGAAAAAGTCCCGCATCTGCGCCTTTGCCCGCATCTGCGTGCCTGTTTGCGCTCCTGCACAGGCCGCTTCTGCGCGCGTCCCTCCGCATCTGCGCACACGCAGGTGCGGAATTTCCCTCGCACCTACGACCATTGCCCCATAGTCCATTTGTGCATCTACGCTTGCCAGGCTCGCTTCTACGAGCTCGCACCTGCGATAGAATTTTCGCAGGTGCGAATGCAGTAGAGGGTAGAAACTTCAGTTATTTCTTCTAAGTCCGAATTTGATCCGTTAACCATTTGAAACTCACCCGAGGCCCCCCGGGACCTCAACCAAATGTACCAACAAGTCCTAAAACATCATACGAACTTAGTCGAGCCTTCAAATTACATCCAACAACACTAAAACATGAATCACACATAGATTCAAGCCTAATGAACTTTTAAAATTTTAATTTCTACAAATGATTCCAGAACCTATCAAATCATGTCCGATTTACTTCGAATTTTGCGCACAAGTCATAAATGACATAACCGAGGTATTCAAAGTTTCATAATCATATTTTGACCCCGATATCAAAAAGTCAACCCTTCGGTCAAACTTTCTCAAAAATTTAACTTTCGGCATTTCAAGCCTAATTCCACTACGGACTTCTAAATAAAATTCAGATCACGCTCCTAAGTCCAAAATCACCATACGGAGCTGTTGGAATCATCAAAATTCTATTCCCGGATTGTTTGCACATAATTCGACATCCGGTCACTATTTGAACTTAAACTTTTATTTTTTCATCAAAATTTCATATCTGGGGTTAGGGACCTCGAAATTTGATTCCAGGTATACGCCCAAGTCCCAATTCACAATACGGACCTACCGAAACTGTCAAAATACTAATTTGAGTCCGTTTGCTCAAAATGTTGACCAAAGTCAACACAGTTGAGTTTTAAAGCTCTAATTCATATTTTAATCCATTTTTCACACAAAAACTTTCCAGAAAATTTTACGGATTGCGCACACAAGTCGAGGAATGATAAATAATATTTTTCGAGGTCTTAGAATACAAAATTAATTATTAAATTTAAAGATAACATTTTGGGTCATCACACATTACCACATATTATTTTTGTGGTGAAATACACGCCCCTGACACATGTATTTCCCACTAAAATCATTTTTTCTTGTTTTTTTCCATCTACTTCTTTTCCCAACTCACTTTTTATATTTTTTGAATATTCTTTTTTTCCTTTTCACATATCCCACCTTCTTTCTTCTCCAAACCCACAAGTGAAGCAACAAACCTTTTTGGTTGAAGAAGGACATCGAAAAATAGTGAGCTCCTAAAAACAATTTTGGCAATCAAAAATCAACAACTAAATCCTTCTTCCATGTTCTCTCTTTTATGTAAATTTAATTAATTAAAAAAATAGGACCCCCTCCCTCCTCCCACCTCACTACCTGAAGTAGTGAAAGGTCAAAGTCCCAATTGGGAACGACGTGCATGGCGAGAATATTTTTTGCAACTAACAATCTAAGCCCTTCCTCTTGTTCAATCTTTTGTGGGCTTCTTCTGGGTTTAATCGGAAATTGATCTTGAGGCATGACTTATTCATTCGAAAAGAAACCGCAATTGAAAGTTTAAAAGTAGTGAGTGAAGAGATTACAAATAATAGTAATCCTCTATAAAGTGTAGTGAAATATGGAGAGGAAAGAATAAAATTTTCAACTCGATCTCGCCGGAAAATATGGAGAATGCCGGAGCTAATTTCCGGCCAATCTACAAGTAACAAAGTTGGAGGAAAAAAAGGAAAAGAAAAAAAAAACAAGAGAAACGAAAAGATAGAAAATAGTATATTTTATAAAAATGTTATAAAAATAAAATTTCCGCATTCTCTCTCTTTCTCACTCTCCCGAGGAGGGTGGCATACACTCTCTTCTGTCACATCAGTACGAAAGGTGTACTAATTCCACATAAAAATAGTTCAGGGGGTAATAAGATCCCCGCAAAGATAAAATGTGTAGTTGGAAATCCGACTATAAATCAGGGGTACTTATGCATTTTCCTTTTTTTTCCCTATTCTTTCTCGTCATGACATGAATATATGCAAATAAAAGATTATAACTTATTATTCTATCGATTGTAAAACGGATGGTAAAATTGAGAAAATAAAGCATTTCTAGTTTGATCGAACTTGCGCCTATTGTCCTTGGTTCGAAAATTACATAAGTACGCATATTTGAAAAGTTCTTAAAGAAAATTAGCATTCATTGTCACGAAGGAATAATACAAATGGTTTGAAACATCCAACAACAAGAATGTGTTCCTACAAGTAGAGTTTAGAGAGGTTGGGGTTTATGTAGAACTTACCCTTACCTTGTGTGAGGTAGGAAGACTATTTCTAGTAGACCCTTGGCTTCAGAAACGGATTACCCTTTGAGTACGGGGATCACCGTCCCCCGTAATATATATATATATATATATATAATTTTAGACAGTTGGATTAGTCGATTTAGGAGGGCCCAACTTGATTTTTAGTGTGATGCATCGGTTTGACTCCGCTAATATTATAATTAAGTGGAATTGGATATTTTCTCAAATACTCTTTTGCTAATATGTACACAATTAAGTTATGTTGAGTTAGATTTGAGGGAATCATTCTAATCTTTGCCATGAAGTTAAGCGATCGCTTAACACTTAATGCAGCTAAAAAATTCTCCCTTATATTAAAGAATATTGATTCTTAATTAATAGTATAGGACAGTTTCTCGTTTACGAATCTAGTTTTTCGGATTTTGTCAAGTAGAGATATCAATATTGGCGCAGTGTGTCACAATTCCTGATCTTCTTTGCATGGCTCCGAAGATTGCTTGTACATCTCAATCCACTTTTGTTTATTCTCTGCTCATTTTTATCCCTTAAAAGTACGTACTATATGTAAGATACTATAAAAACAATCATTTTTCTTTTATTCAGAATCTGTTGGTAACAAAATAAAGATGAAAATAATAACGAGGAAATTAACCAACACATAATATATGAGAGAGTCTGAAGATCAAGTTAACTAATTCCAAAAACTGGACCAGATAAGTAAATTTATCTTTTGAATCTTAAGATTCAGAAATTATACGAATAAAACAATACTATATATTATACTCCTTCCATCCCTTTTTAATTAGCTGTCATATTTTTCTTTTCGATAGTTAATTTGACATTTGGAGCTAAGTTGAATTAGATCAACCAATATTTTAAATATAAATTTAGTTATTCAAAAAAATATGCAAAATGTGCTACGAGTTATAATTCTTCTCATGTCAATATGATGAGAAAAAAAATATTCTAAAATATTAATAACAATTCACATAGTTTGAATTTAGAAACTAAAAAGTAACGTATATGTTGTGAAGGAAGGAGTAAGTTTCTTCATATTGAATGATGCTATATTATATTGGTTTAATACATATATTATATTATATTCTCGCCACCAGACGGTGAAAATACTTTTTAAAAAATATACATATATTTTAGCCCCTAAGTTGCAAGACATCTCTTTTACACATTAAGGGATGTAATAGGAGTTTGTCCGAAGAGGAAATGTGTATTCTCATTCGTCAAGTAAAAAAACAAATGCTCCGTCCGTTTTAGTTTATATGACATAATTTGACTCGATATAAAAATTACGGAAAAATAAAAACTTTTGACATTTATGGTCTTAAAAAGAGTAAAGTTCACTTTACTCCTTAACCTTTAATGGTTGGGAAATGATAGCTCCATCACCTTTTGAATGGAAAAGGGACTCCCCTTGTGCAATAGCTTTTTAGTAATTTTTTTTTAAATAAAAATCTTTCTTTTTTGAATAAATACATTTTTGAATAACCAAGTTCGCTTAGTATAGCCAAAAGCTCTACATATAACAACAATTAGGATCTATATTTGGAGTGCCCCTTTAGCCTCTTCCTGCATAGTTTAAGTTCTGATGTGTTGCAAAAACGCCTCCATAATGAATTTTCAGATCTTGAGTCAATTATAATTTCTGTTTAATAAAGAAGTTTTCAAAATAAGTAAAATCAATAATTGCTTTAGCATAATAATTTTAATATACAAAAAAATACATAACTAAATTATTACTCATAGCAACAATTCTTTCATAATTGTCAGAGAATTGACTAATTCAAAATATGTTTTCCCTTCTAATTGAAAAAAATGCTAAAGCATCTTGAGTGAATGTGCGTTCACCATATTTCTTGAATTTCATATGCAATTTTTTTTTATTGCAAAAATTTTAACAATGACCTCAATATAATAGAAAAATATTTTAAATTTTGCAAGCAAGAAAGACGAAACTCAAGTATTTGTTTGGATGAAAAATATTATACTTCACCTTTGAAAGTATAAAGAGAGAGAAAAATTCTTTAGTCAAAAAAAGAAATTCTCACCGAAAAATAATTACATAAGGGGGTTTACTTTCCCATTCAAAACATGAAGGGGTATTGTTTCCCAACCCTTAAAGGTTAAGGGGGTAAAGTGAATTTTGCTCTCTTAAAAACTCGAAGGATAAAAGATTTGTGAAACTATAACACTTGTGTAGCTATCAAAACTTCTCATTAAGTGTTAAATGGTTCAATTGAAAAGTTTAACTATTTTCCAATATAAAAGTGGGTCAATTCTTTTTGGAATGAACTAATAAGAAAAACATGTACCATAAATTGAAACAGATGGAGTATGTGTTAATTAAGCCTATTATATTTAGACATTTTAGCCATATGTGTTTGGTGTGTGCGGACTCATTGTCTAACTATGTGATAAAAATGATGGATGCAACATGCATCATATAGGTTCATATGGACCCAGTAACTTTAGACAAACTATAAATGTGTATTACGAAATCCACAAAAAAATTGACTATAAACTCAATACTATTGAATATTAATTTGAGATTGTGGTAGGAACCCGTAAATATCAAATTACACATACACCTCTGCATTAATCTCAAAATTTTAGCGCGATAGTTCTATCCGTATACACAAGGCAAAATTTGCATGTTCCATTACATATTTACATCTTAAGCTCTAGTGAGGTACAAGCCCTCCACTTGAAGCAATGCATATATGCCTTTGCTCTCAAAAGAAATGTAATAAATACCATTGGTTATAATATAATAAATTAAAAGTAAACTCTTAAAACAGAATGTTCAGTTTGTACTTTAAAAAGCAGACTCTCCAGAATTAAAGAAGCTAGCTCTATCACTCCCCACTACTCAGTATTACTGAGCTTCACTCTCAAAGTATCAAAATGCTGATTTTATCTCATGAACTCTGTGTAGCATTCTGCGTATTCCTTTTTCTTGCCAGCACAAGTAATTCTTGACTCTCAATCCATTGATTTCCTTACTTCCTTGTTTGTATGCAAAATGTTTTCTTAACTTGTTTCACTTTTTGTCATGTGACTGCAGATGGGACACAACTTATTCTAGTGAACAACTGCAGAAGAAGCCTATGGCCTGGAATTCTTGGCAATACAGGGAAGATGACTCCTAAGGATGGTGGCTTTCATATGAAAAGTGGTGAGGAAGTAGTCTTTGATGTGCCTAAGAAGTGGTCGGGTAGGATATGGGCCAGACAGAATTGCCACTTTGATAAGACTGGCAAAGGCTCGTGTGACACTGGCGACTGTGATGGCCAGTTAAAATGTCGGGGGCTAGGAGGTAAGCCCCCGGCTACAGTTGTGGAAATGACACTAGGCTCATCGACTTCCCCCTTGCATTTCTACGATGTGAGCTTAGTCGATGGCTTCAACGTGCCAGTTTCAATGAGAGCTGTGGGTGGAGGAATAGGTTGTGGCGTGGCGGAGTGTGATGTTGATTTGAATATATGTTGTCCATCAACACTGGAAGTGAAGGTTGGTGGGAAAGTGGTAGGGTGCAAGAGTGCTTGCTTAGCTATACAATCAGCCAAGTATTGTTGCACAGGACAGTTTGCAAATCCCAAAACTTGCAAACCAACTATTTTTGCTCATCTTTTTAAGGTCATCTGCCCCAAGGCTTATAGTTATGCATTTGATGAGTCTTCTAGCCTAAACAAATGTAGAGCTTCAAGGTATGTCATTATTTTTTGCCCTCCAAAATGAGGAATTTGAAAATCTATATACAAGTTTTTGTGCCTTAGGAGTGGATGGAAGCAGATATCCATCTAAAGGAACTTTCTTGTCCAAACTTATGTAATTGTCAGTCCCAATAAAAAATTAGTTGAAGGCCAATGAATAGCAATACTAGTACTGGTTGAAATTCCCACATGGTGATAAAACTCACATCCAACAATTGATGTTCTAAATATGCTGACAACAAAAAAAAATACAGCATTACATGCAGAAGATTTTAGTAAAACAGCAAATCAAAAAAAAAAAAAATTTGAAAAGGCCGACACCACGAGAGGGAAGGACGATAAATTATCCAGAAAACACTAGGCATCTAACATGTAATATCACAGATATGTTCAGACATAGAACCTGGTATTTCCTAAACACCGTACATCATGCAGAAGCATCTCTATTTTCTTCCCCAGCCATGGCTCCACTGGAGCTATTTTAGGCGGGAGGATCCTGTGCAGGTGGACCTAGGCCTAGCAATAATGGGGCCTGGTTCTTTTCACTACTCGGCTTCGTATCCTCATTCCTATTTGCAGCCCAAGCTCTCAGAGGTGGTTCAAAATGCTTACTAGCAACATCAGGCGGTAATGCATCATTCTCTCCGGGGAGAACAACTAGGCCTTGCTCTCTAAGAGAAGAAGGCTCATTGTAGCAGGTATTCCAGAGGGAATCTACAAGCTGCCGCTCTTCTTTAGCAGCACCAAGATCTTCAGGTGACATAGCGGAAATCCCCTTAATTCGGTCCTGGAGTATTTGCTTGAGCTTTTCATCATCTTCACTTGAAGAGCCATCTACTGCCTGTGCTGCTGTCCTGTCTCGGCCAAGATCAAGAAGGCCTCGCAGGGCACCCTCTCGCACCTCTCCATCCTCACTGGAGGCAAGATGCATAAAAATTCGAGGAAATCCTAGCTCAGTCACTACAGCGCAGTCTGAACGATTCTCATGCAGTAAATAGTGGATCAAGTTAAGGGCTTTCCTGGGAAAAAAAGAAAAGAAAAGAAACAATACATACCTATTAGAAAGAGAATACAAAAGAGGAAGCATTACCAAAAAGTAAACCGCGACTTTATCCAATCCTGGCTGATCAGGAACATGACCTGTGCAAAATCATACCTTTGAAATCTCACACTCTCAGAACCCAAAGCATCTCTTAAAGCTGCATAACCATTTGCAAGACGAAATGCAGCAATGCCAGGCTTGTTGTGCCTGATTAAAGCTGGAATGAAGGGGAAAATATAATGCTAATTGGTAAGTGCTACTGGAACACAAATGACATGTCAACTAAAATTAAAGGACTCAATTTACTAATGAATCATTCATCACCAGGAGAAGTACCCACATGAGATTGCACCAAGAGCTTTAGTGCGGGCAGTAACATCAGGATCTGAGGTGAAATTTGAGAGAAGAGGTTCTAGGCCATTAGCTTCCATTACCAGTTGTTGGCTCTTTGGATTGTTCTGAACAATTGTACTTACGACTTCTGCCGCTTTGGCTCTAATGTTAGCATGGGAGTTCTTTAAGTAACCAAGAAGAGGCACCAATCCACCAATTGAGTGCAGATCTGCCAAATTAACAATAAAAGGAGAGAGCATGAGATTAAAACTTCTAATAATGGAAGAGTATTAACTATTGAAATCTCCAAAAGAAAATGTCAACATAGTCAAGCGAGTTAAGGGAGCAATATCCCCAAGAAATGGGGAAGAGAGGAGGCGCGGGGGAGGCAAGGAGGCAAAGAGCGTCTATTCCAAGAGTGAATAGTAAAGAGATAGCTATAAACCAGTAACATTAACAGCGTACCGCTTCCCAGGTCCCTCTGTTTGTCTTCCTTTTTCTAGTTTCCACATTAGTAACCCAAGGAATACTGCCTCCCAGGTTCAACTGGCTCTTGAGAACCTGACACAGCTTAGTCATAGGCTTTCTAGTTTACACTAATGATGTAAAAGGTGAGAGCTTGAGTGCTAAAGTGGGTTCTTTACTTCATACTCTTCAAACCCTTCTCCTATAAGTGTTTCATTTTATCGTAGGAAGAAAAACAGTTACCAAGCTCTTAAAGAGGCACCAGAGTCAAAAACAACTTAAATTGTAATTTCAACTCTCTTTATGCCCATGCAAAGCCCTTGACTGCAGTCATACCAAAGCATCTAAGATACCTCTTTTTTGTCTTTTCGTTTTGTTTACTGTCCTTTTTTCTTCCAGGTTGAATAGAAGTCTCAAGCACCTGATACCGTAGGGCACAATGACACTGAGAATATATCTCTATGAAATACATATAAAAGAATATTGCAACTACAACAAATAACAACAAACCCAATGTAATCTCACAAGCGGGGAGGATAGTCTATAGGCAGACCTTACCCCTACCTTTAAGAAGGTAGAGAGGTTGTTTGCAGTAGACCCTCAGGTTAGGATAAAAGAATATTGCAACTGCTTATATAAACTATCAGAACTAAGCTTACAACGCAAAACAGCGGGACAGAGGATCTTGAGTGATGTATGGTACTGACTATGTAATAGTGTCAGCTTAATGGATCTTGAGTGAGGTATGGTACTGACTACATAATAGTGTCAGCTTGGTCCATTAAGGTTCATTATTCTGCTTTCCAACAAGTACTACAGTGTAGAATGGATAATATCTGGACATCACCAATAACAACCCCTAGAAACCAGGGATAAACAGAAGGAAATCAGGTGCGATATCCAAGAGGATTACGTGAACTCAGGTTTTTATTTGTTTTGGTTATGTGATTAAGCACAAAGATCTTCAACAGAGATGTACATGAAGTTACATAACTTTACTGAATACTTGGTCACATGCATGTTTTCCTTACGATGAGCAGATGAATGTCCTTGAACTAGTCAGAAGTAAAAGATCAAAGCAACATCATTACTGCTATTTTAAGAGACTTCATCAGTCTAAGAAAAAACCAAAGTAGAATGAAAGGTTTAAACAGGCCCATCATGCATATTGGTAAGTAGCTACACTACAGAAATACATGATGCTTGTCAGGCCATATTTCAGAAAACAGAAAAAATTTACAGGCTTGGGTCCTAGATGAACATATGATATGCACCACCTTCGTGTATCAGCAAAGCAACAGGTCAGCAAAAGAATGGACTCATATAACCAATAAAGTTACTCCTTGATTAGGCAGTTTTTTTGTTTTTTGTTTTTTGATTACCGATAGCCAGTGCTGCACGGTTCTAACTCGGTAATAATGGGTACGCCAATCTACCATAGTCTACTTAAATAGCAGGATTTTGTATGCCGTAGAGTTCAAACATATGGCGTGCAACATTAAAAACTTCGATTAGACCTTCACGATATTATTAAGAAATGAACCTTGTGCCTAACTCAACTCTGAAAAATAGTTCATAAGGCAAGAATTGCGCAAGACCATACAAGAAAACAAGAGCCAATTCTCTCACCCGATGTGGGACACGCTAACATGGAGCATGAACATGCTAGACACATGGAGCATGAACAATATAACATGGATGCCTAACCAAGAATCTTACTGGTAAAGCTCTGACACCGTATTAAGAAAATTGACCTTGGGATATCAAGGCCAAAAGCTAGCCCACCAGATGAGAATTGACCCAAACCATATAAGGAGACAACGACTTATTGCCTAAACTGATGTAGGACATCTTAACAAATATCTCATCAGATTAAATCTTCCACATATCAATCAACTAGGTCTCAATCCCTAGTTAGATTTTTAAAATTATGCAATACTTAATAAATATCGAATCGTGAAATGCAACATGTTGCTGAAGATCAAAGAACTCACCGTTAGCCATATCAATCGATTCAACATGTTCTTGTAGCTCATCCAGTATATCTGAAAAAATCACCAGACCAGCAAATAAGACCAAATGACCAAAGGTCACAAAATAGGATTACACATTAACCAGAAAACTACAAACAAAGGCCTCAAAACCAAGTACCTTCAATATCTTGGGAAGTCACCCCCTGTGATTCCAGGACCTGCTCTGGAGTTTGCATGACAAGAGTAATCTCCTTCATTCTCTTTATTACATCTACAGTTTGAGCTTGCATAGCCTCCATGAACCACCTCCTATCCTCCTCACTGGTAAGCCAATAAACCCATCAGCGACAAACTTCAATCCGAAACACAAACTCCCACATAAAAGAACAACGAACAACAGAAACTGCATTTAAATTACAACACCAATCAGCCACGCCTCAATCCCAAAACTAATTTGTCAACTATATGAATCCTCTTTTATCCATTCTACTCATATTTAAACTACTTTTAGCTGGTCCTCAAACTACAACAACCTCCCTCTTTTATCTAGGCATAAAACCGGCTTGGCTTTCCTAACATACGTGGAGCTATTATTCAAATAACTACCCTTCTCCGCTTAAATACCAGGTTTTTGAATACAGCACGGGTTCGAACCTAATCATATAGGTGGAGCTATTATTCAAATAACTACGACCAAAGAAAAATGAAATTAAATAAGAAAATACCAAACAAATCAAAGCTCCAATCTTTTAACTTTTCAGTCCCATTACACAATACATCAAATCACTGAATACAAGATTCAAATTTTCCATTACCTCTTGAGATAAATTCGACCAACTTCAAGAAACCACATAAACATAAACATAAATTTAAGAAAAAGAAAGATTATATAAAAAGAGGTTACCTCAAATTGCGAGAAGGATTAGTACCATCAGCATGAGACAGACTCCACTTTAGTAGACCATCCCAATTAGGTCCCTCTTTTGCCATTTTTGGTTCTTGTTTTTTAATGAACAGAAAAAATTTCTCAAAAACCTTATAGCTTAGCGTTGGAGAACAAGGGGTATGTATGTATATATAGAGGTGGGTATGCAGACACGAAGAGATAGTAGATGATGAAGGTTCAAGGATTTTTTGGGAGGGGTTTGAAAGACTTTCGCGAATGTACGCGAACTGTCTAGACAAAAAGAATGGACCTTTTTCGAATATAAAATGGGCCTTCCTTAGTGGATAGACTATCAAAAATTTATGTTCCACTTTGGGCCAGTTTCCTTTTATTTAGGGGAACTTTCATTAGTATCACGTTTTAAAAGAATATATACAAAATCCTAGCACCATTAAGTATATTTCAATGGTGGCAGTGTATTATTTACATAAGTAGTAGAAACCTAAAAATAAGTTGGTCTCCCTTTAATGTTCAAGAATATTGCAATTTCCTATCCTAAAAATCTCTCCAAAAAATTAGGACTTCAATTTTATGTCCTTAATTCTTGCTATCATCTCCTAATCATATTCATTGCAAACACATCATTCTCCTCCCCTCATAAATTATTTTTAATTTCTCCCATATTCTTTTACAAATCAACCTCTCAATAAATGGTACTATATATATATATATATATATATATATATATGTACTCTCATGCCTTCCATTTCACATCCAAACCTAAGTAGTATATCTAATCAAGTAAATTTTAATCAAGTATAAAGTACATACCATTTTTATACCTAAACAAATTAAATAAACAAAAATATATCATGTATTTTGAATAGGGGTGGCATGTGGGCCGGGCCCGGTCCTAAGTGGGATTCGCGGGCCCGGTCCTAAGCGGTCCCGGGCTTCGGGGCTTCTCGTTGAAATCGGTCCGGGACCGGGACCACGAACTAGCGGTCCCGTGTTAAGTGGGCCGGTCCCGGGCCTAAGTGGGCCCAAACGGTCCTAAGCGGGCCCAAGTAGGCCCAACGGAAACTTTCTACTTTTTAAATTATTTTTATACAAGTTAGAGAAAAAAGTGGTAATAAAAATATCTAAGGCAATTCCTAGTAAATTATATTATAGAATTATCACCTAAATATTTTAATTCAAATTTAAAGACAAAAATGNATATATATATATATATATATATACTAAATATACATCTTACTATATTAAGATGTGTAAGTGAGTTGAAAGAGAAAAGGGGTACCTTATTACAACCATTCAAAGTGATCATGGAGGAGAATTCCAAAGCAAACATTTGAAGATTTATGCAATGATCAAGGATATACTCACAACTTCTTAGCTCCAAGATCACCTCAATAAAATGAAGTAGTTGAGCAAAAACATAGAACTTTACAAGATATGGCCAGAACAATGATATTGAAACATTCCCTGCCAAACTATTTTTGGGCAGAAGTAGAAAGCACAGCCTGTCATATTCTCAGCAGATGTCTTATAAGACCTATCTTGAAGAAAACTCCATATAAATTATGTAAAGGTAAACAGCCCAACATAGGTTATTTCCATCATTTTGGAAGCATGTATTTTATCCACAACAACGGTAAGGACAATCTTGGAAAATTTGATCCAAGAAGTGATGAAGGTATTTTTTTGGGTTATTCCATAAACATTAGATCTATCAGAGTTTATAATAAATGCATTTTATCTGTAGAAGAATTAGTACATGTCATATTTAATGAAAATAATACTACGGTCGAGAAAGGAATTATTCCATGTGATGAAGATATCAGTCAAGAAACATCACAGTCAAGCAAATCTCAAAAGTCGACTGATAAGATAGACGGTGTTATAGAATCGACTAATGAACCTGTCAACAGTCAACCAGAATCACAGAAGGAGTCAACTACTCATACAATTGCAACACGTCCAAATGAGTAGAGAAGTGAATCGGAATATCCTCAGAAGTTTATCATATGAGATCCAAGTGAAGGAATGAAAATTAGGGGAGCTCTCAAGAAAAAGGAAAATGTAGCATTCATCTCTCATATTGAACCAAAAAATGTTGAGGAAGCCTTAAAAGACTCCCACTGGGTATAAGCAATGCAGGAGAAACTTGATCAATTTGATAAAAATCAAGTCTAGGAACTGCTACCTAAGTCTGCTAATGCTACTGTAGTTGGAACAAAATGGGTTTTCAGAAATAAGCTTAACGATGATGGAAAGGTTGTGAAAAATAAAACCAGATTAGTAGCCCAAGGCTACTCACAGCAGGAAGGAGTCGACTACGATGAAACCTTTGCACCAGTAGCTCGACTAGAGTCTATACGGATTATTCTTGCATATATATCCTTCAAACGATTTAGACTTTTCCAGATGGATATCAAAAGTGCTTTTATAAATGGATTTATTGATGAGGAGGAATATGTAAAACAACCTCCTGGTTTTGAAGATTCAAAATTCCCTTACCATGCATATAAGTTGACTAAAGCTCTTTATGGACTCAAACAAGCTCCACGAGCCTGGTACGAAAGGTTTAGCTCATTTCTACTTGACCATGGCTTTACAAGAGGTAAAGTAGATACTACATTATTTATCAAAATATCATCAGGAGGTAATATTATTATCCAAGTTTATGTTGATGATATTATCTTTGGAAGTGCTAACCCTCTTTTGTGCAAGGAATTCGCTGGTCTTATGCAAAGTGAGTTTGAAATGAGCATCATGGGAGAGCTTACATTTTTTCTTGGACTTCAAATTCAACAATTTGAAGAAGGAACTTTTGTGTACCATACAAAATATACAAAATTAATTCATTCAAAAGTTTGGCAAGAGGAGTGCTAAAGCAATTGGTATACCAATGAGCCGGTCAACAAGTCTCGACAAGGACGAAAAATAAAATCCAGTTGATAAAACTAAATATCGTGGAATGATTGGATCTTTGCTTTACTTGACTGCTAGTCGATTAGATATTATGTTTACTGTGTGCAAATGTGCCAGGTTTAAGTCAGCTCTTAAGGAATCGCATCTGACTGCAGTAAAGAGAATAATTTGTTATCTCATTAGAACTATTTCTTATGGACTATGGTACCCACGTTCTAATAATTTTAAGCTGGAAGGTTTTTCATATGCTGATCTTGCAGGTGATAAGGAAGACAGAAAAGTACCATCGGAACATGTCAATTACTGGGAAAGGCATTAATATCATAGAACAATAAGAAATAAGGCTCAGTTGCATTATCCATAATGGAGGCAGAATATATTTCCATTGGGCAATGTTGTGCACAGTTACTATGGATGTCTCATCAACTGGGTGACTATGAACTATTTTTTAAACCTATTTAAATATTTTGTGATAACGCTAGTGCTATATGTCTCTCAAAGAATCTTGTGCATCTTTCTAGGGCTAAGCATATAGGCATTAAACATCATTTCATTAGAGATCATGTCCTTAAGGGAGATATAGAATTATCATTTGTTGGCACCACTGATCAATTAGCAGATATTTTTACTAATCCTTTACTTGAAGATAGATTTTGCTCCCTAAAAGAACTACTTGGCATAATTTTGCTTGATCATAAAAATTAGGACATGTGTGTTAGTTTTAATTCTTGCATGTCTAATGTTTTTAGTTTTATATTCTCTATATGTATGCATTATTTAAGCGCCTACGATTTTCCTCTATTTTCCCATCAGTTGTAGCTTTCAAAAAAGGAAAATCAATCATCATGACCCTTCACTGACGCCCTTTCCTTTCCTGCACTCAACCGTCAATATCACTTATTTTTAATCCTCTGAACCATTCTCCCTTGTCTTCATTGTTCCTATCGCTCGGAAACCCTTCTCCAAAATCCTTCATACCCTTCTTCAAAATCCTTCAATGTCTAAACATTCCAAGAATCCGTCTACCTCCACTAGAAAAAGTACTCGTTCCAAGGGAAAACCCTCTTCTCAACCTCCGGAACAAGTAGACCTAGGGTCTGATCACTCAGAAGGGTTTGCCTCTTCTTAGGCAGGACCATCTGACCACTCTCACCGAATAGGAGAAAAAGCTATTGGCAAAAGGCCCATGGAAGACCCCCCTTGAATATTTTACCCCTAATAAATCCAAAGTAAACATCTCGAATTCTTTAGAGTCCGACCTCAATTCCTGGGATACCCCAAATAGGGATTTCTTTGTTGCGCTGAAAGAAAATCCCATTGCTCACGGCAGAGTATTCGACCTTGATGACATGGAGGCCCTCAATTGTAAGGTAAAGGATCTGTTTGTTTTTCAAGGATGGTCTAAATTCCTCTTTGTACCCCCTCCCAAAGTCTATGAACCTTTAGTGAGAATTTTTCATGCCAATCTTCGCTCTTGCAAGCCTAATAAGTTAGAATCCCTAGTTCTAGGAAAATGCATTGTCCTTGATTGTGCCATGTTTGACTCAATTTTTTAGTGTAAGTGCTCTGGTTTTCCTATGCTTTTCAAAAATACTTGGCCTGATGATTTTGAAATTTATTTTGATCAAGCAAACGTTGTATTGCTAAGTGTCTATCTGATTTCCTTCCTAACTAGTTAGGTCCCAGTGATGTTAGTTTCAAAACCCGAGTTCTGGCCCACATTATTGCAACTACTCTTCTTCCTCGTACTAGCTTATTCTCCACCTTCTCTCAAGGAGACACCATTCTTGTCTACTGTCTTGTGACCAAACTTAAGGTTACACTATCCTCATGGTGATAAACATACTAATGTGCCACATTTAAGGGGAGGTGTTGTGGTGCATGTTATTTACAGATGATATTGTATTAATTGACGAGACGCGAGACGGTGTGAATGCAAAATTAGAGGTATGGAGGAAGACCCTGGAATCTAAAGATTTCAAGTTCAGTAGCACCAAGACACAATACTTGGAGTGTAAGTTCAGTGGCGAGACTCAAGGAGGGGAAGGGGAGGTGTGGTTGGACTCACAGGTCATCCCTAGAAGATGGAGTTTTAAGTACCTTGGGTCTATTATTCAAGGGGATGGGGAGATTGATGAAGATGTCACACATCGTATTGGGGCAAGATGGATAAAATGGAGACTCACTTCCGGTGTTTTGTGTGACAAGAAGGTGCCACCAAAACCTAAGGGTAATTTCTACAGAGTGATGGTCAGACTAACGATGTTGTATGGGGCTGAGTGTTGGCCAATCAAGATC